ACATAAACTTTAACATTTCTATTTTCATTATCTAGCTCTATTATTGGTTTAAATAACAAATTAGACTAAATAACTCCTCGTCACCTACTCAGAAAAAGCTCATGATAAAGAAAAGCTACTATTACTTTTCATAGTCAGGTTCACTGATTTAGATAATTAGCCCCATAATCAAACTCTTTACTTGTTGCTTGTGTGTTCAACAATGAAAGATCTTTGATTAGTCCTATTGTGTCTGTTGGATCACCGAGAGACCACAAAAGAGCTTGTGGATTTTTTTGCCAGTGTTTAGTAAATCCTTTATACTTCCCACACTAAATATAGGTTTCAGCTTGAGCGGCAATTTTTTTCTTTCCACATATGATGAGTGCACTGCTTAGGTCAGCACTACAGTACATATGCACTGTATGTATGTCACAAGAATAGTCATTTTTAAGGTGTTACATTGTAATAAGGTCTTAGTTGAGCTCTAACAGAGCCTCTTCCCTTTCTTTCAGGTTGATGAGATCTACCACGATGAATCTCTGGGAGCCAACATCAACATTGTGCTAGTCCGTATGATAATGGTCGGGTATAGGCAGGTCAGTAAAGTCAAATACTCTATGATACATTAATATGCAGGTTTATAATGATGCTTTTAAAGTTTTGGAGCGTAAAAGTAATGTCTTAAAGTAAGACTGCCTTACAGTTTGCCCCTGTGCAGTAAAAGCAGGGCAATAATAGAGATAGGTATTAAGTTACAAAAAAGGTAAATTCTCTTACTTTTACTGTGATGTTTTGGGATGCATGCTTGAAATCCACATTTTTATATTTTTACTTTTTCAGTATTTAGTATTTAGACCTGCCTTAATATTTGACCAAATTGTTGGAACCTTTTCTCAGAGGTTTTGGTCCCTGTCCACTTGATAGCATGTTTATTTGTTAACCACAGAATCCCTATGCATTCCACCACCATTCTCAAACTGTACCTATAATCAGTCTCCTGTCACACTCGACAGCTGGTTAGAAGTTCTTCTTTCAAGGTTTAACATGTAGATGATGGTATTCTATTTATCTTGGCTGAAATAAGAGTGTTTGAGAACCACTGTTGCTTTTCAGCCATCTTAAACCAGTTTGCCCATTATCCAGTCCACAATTTCTTGAACCATTCACTGAATATCTTGTGTTTTTAGACTATTACCTCCAAACCTGAGAAATAGCTTTCTGTGTGGAAATACCAGTAGAATATAAATGTTCAAGTTTCATAGACCAGACCACCACATCGTCAGTGCTACTCATTTTCTATTTATTCTAATTTTAAGGCTTGTTTAAGGCCGGAACAAACCATATATTTTTTGTTTCATGTATTGAGACCTCCATATGTATTCTGTAGCAAATTATCTGACGTATGAAATGGTCGATGAGTGCATTTTATCGGAGACAACAAAACCTAGAATATAATTTATTTGCCATGACATTTATTATCTTCACTCGGCCTATTATGTTATGCCTAACACTCTAATGAAATCACATCGAACTGTTCTCCTAATCTAAGAGGTCTTTTTAATGTTTTGTTGACATGCAGAAATAGATGTGCTGATTTTCCCCTCTGACTATCTTGATATTGCCCCAGATATTGTGATTGATCTAAATATAATCTTACAACGTAATCCTGCTGTCTGTGGTTTTATGAATGATCTAGCCTTCTCAGAAGGACGTGGGACCACATCGTCCTCAAATCGGGGACTATTTTATTTAGAGATGTTCTAGTGTGTGGGATGTTCTTTGATAAAAAAATGGCCACATAGAAAGTTTTATATGACCTGTAGCCAATGAGAGCATGCTAACCAAGAGAAAACTCCATAACGACTCACCTACATATCATTTAGGAAGTGGATCCAACTCTGTTTTCACTCTTTTAACCAAAACCTTTTCATTTCATTATATTTTGCTTTCAGTTAAGAGTCCACAAACTAACCCCATTGCTGCTTACTCATCTACGTATATTTATTAACTCTGAACTCATTTTGATCTTGAATTTTTTTTTTTTTTTTACAAGATTTCCCGTCTTACATCTAAATGTTCTTGAGTAAAATCTGTTGGAGGGTGGTGTGTTGTGTTTGCATTGGGGCTGTACGCCACGGTAGGACCAAACATGTTATTACTATGACATTTTATACTTATATTTTGGATCTCTAAGGTTCTGAAAATTAATTCTGATCATTTTAAAACCTGGTAATGTNAAAAAAAAAACTCCTGTCTCTCCTTGTATATTTTTATGATGCTACTGTTTGCGTTCTCCTCTGACTTATTTCCAGATGACATTATTCTATGTTATGTCGCAGCATGATTGTGTTGTTCTATAAAAAAGTGGAAATTATGAAAAATTTCCTTTTTTTTATCATCTGCTCTGTCGCTTCTTGATGGCTTTTTGATATAGAGATAATTTCTGTTGCTCCTTACCAATTTAATTGGGATGAGTTACGTGTTGATTTGACTTGAAACAAGACAGGCTCAAGGTAATGACATGAAATATAAAAAAAATAAACAAGTGATTGGTAATTCTAGACACTTCATTATAATCTACTTAAAAGAAGCCAAAGGGTTTTTTTTTTTTTGGCCTGCATGATGAGGATAGACAGCTTCCCCTCTCCATTAAAAAATAGATCAGCCAGTGTCACATTTGTGCAGAAAAAACATGACATGAAGCAAAATTTGAGAGAATAATTATTAAGCTCATAAATCATTCAGCTTGTTTTATTTGTAGTGTTTCTGTCTTACATAAAGTTAGACTGCAGGGAGGATACTTTATCTTCATCACACAGGTGAGAGTTATAACGATGCATGAAATGCACACACACACACACACATATATATATTGCTCTCACGACCATGGTCATGTCTCCGTCAAACATGATTGATTTTCAGTCGACTGTCACAGGCAAAGTGCTCAGTGGGCGTGCGCAAACAACGATTTTTTTTCTTCTTCGTCTCAGATGAAAACACAAGAGCATAGTGGGATGCGAGTGAAATGGAGTTCTTTCTGTAAAATTGACAGACCGTAGTGACCACATTTGCTAATCCATGTCTTTGTCCAAATAAGTTGTCACCTTTTCTTTTTAGGGCCTTTAGCACACAAAACTGCACAAATTGCCCAGGCAGCGTGTTTCACTCTAGTGAGTTTCATATTCCTCTTCTACTCGTTTGGCTTCCGGATAGACGAGTCCGAGTAGCGCCATCTCACTGCGGAGCTGAGTTCAACACGGTTTTTAGATGTACAGTGTGAGCAGGTAGATTGCATCAGAGCTTCGGGTCAGACAGTGTGAGAACATACATCGTGAGCTGTGAATCACACGACGAAACCCTGCAATTTCGTCATATAGTGTGAGCTGTAGCTGCATGCAACGATTGAAAAAATAGTACAGTGTATGCCAGCTTAAGTAGGAAACTCTACGTAACCATTTTAACACAGTGATATTATTTGATTAATACTTTCAGATTGTAACTCTGATGATATGTTTAAGATACTTTCCAGCGTCAATTCTTTTGCACCCACAAACTGGTGTATCTTCCTCAATCTGACCTATATTAGCTTTAGACATTATCCCATTAGCTTTGACAAGCTTTCCTGCTTGCTGAAAGAAACACTTCCAAATGCCTGATCCTCTTACCTCCATAGTTTACTAATGCTTTGTTTAATGACGATGCTTAGTGTCATTTTTGTCATTGTTGTCAAAAACATTTTTTTGGTCTCATCTTAATAATGTTTCTGTGCCCTCGAAATGGCATCTGGCATGCTCAGTTGAGAACCTTTTTTTAGCTATTTTTTAGCACCGACTATCATATATTGCCAGATATAGATAGGAAACCTGTGCAACTCTTCTCTCTTGTATATTATATTTGTACACTATAAACTGAGAATCACTTGTTTAAAATGAAGCAGACACATATGAAGCTTTCTAAACAGAGGACTGGAGATAGACAAGGCTTGATTTAATAGCATCTACAGTAATATTTTTAATATAATTACTAAAGGAGAGTGATGTAACATAAAGAAAAATGAAGGCTAAGATGCCAAAAGCCCCATGCTGGAATCTAAAACGTCCAGGGTACAGTTCCTTTGCCTATGTTTATCCAAGAAAAAGATACAACTGACTCATTTTCCACGTAAGCTATTCCGTCTGTAATCAAATGCCTTTTATTTCTACATAATTGGTTGACCACAGACCTAGCCTTTTTGGTGTTTGCTCTCTGTTTTCTGTTTATGTAGCCTCAATTGGGTAAGCACAATTAAGTTGAATGTGTCATCAGTCCCACTTCAGCGCACATTTAGAGGAAATTAAGGCATGATTCATTTCCTAACCTCCTAGTTTCTGTTTTAGATCCAAACTGAATAGGTTGTATTTAATGAAGGACAAAGTCTGACATCACTCTAAAATTTAGGTGATCATTTTCATTTAGACACAATCTCTCTGCATGTTTACAGCTTATGTAAAAACTTAGATACAAGATTTTCTTCAGTGTCAATCCATAAAGATTCATTCCTACCTAAATCGAAAATTTAAAAAAAATGTCCAAAGGAAAAAAATGAAACATTGATTTCAAGATTTTGTTTATCCATTTTCCATTTTTGTTCAATCCCCAAGTCCAATCTTTGCAGAACAACCTTGCTATTGTGCAAGAGTTCAAAACACACAAACTTTTAAAAGAAAACTTCTGAAAAGTTTATACATGATGCAAGTATATTTCATCTTTTGTGATGTTTGATATATCAATCTATTTGGAATGATGGACACTCAGAAAAATTCAATGAAATTTTAAAAATAACATTCGGGTATTTCTTTTTATCCATGCTTTAATAAAAAGATTTAAAAAATAAATAAACTCACAAAACAGGCCTGGACAAAAAGGATTGTATTCTTCGCTTAATATTTTGTTGTATAATCTTATGAGGCTATCTTTATAATGATACACTTCCTGTAACTGTCAGTGAGACTTTGCTCCTCTCAGCAGGTATTTTGTTCCTCTCCTCATGAGCCAACTGCTGCAGTTGTCTCAGGTTTGAAGGGTGCCTTTTCCGAATGGGATATTTTGGCCCCTTCCAAAGATGCTTACTGTAATGGGACTGAGGTCAGGGCTCATAGAAGGTCACTTCAGAATTGACAAATGTTTTCCTCTTAGCCAAACCTGTCATGCTGAAAGATGTTACAGGCAGCATAACATTCTCCACGGCTTCTCAAGACCCTTTCACGTCTGTCACATGTGCTCAGGGTGAACCTGCTCTCATCTGTGAAAAGCACAGGGCTCCAGTGGCGGACTTGCCAATTCCGGTGTTCTGTGGTAAATGACGTCGGGCCCTCAGGCCACCCTCCTTAAAGTCTGTTTCTGATGATTTGGTCAGAGACATTCACACCAGTGGCCTTGCTGGAGGTCATTTTGTAGGGCTCTGGCAGTGCTCCTCCTGCTCCTCCTTGCACAAAGGAGCAGATACCGGTCCTGCTGAGGGGTTGTAGACCTTGTAGGCCCTGTCCAGCTCTCCTGGAGTAACTGCCTGTCTCCTGGAATCTCTTCCATGCTCTTGAGATTGTGCTGGAAGGCACAGCAAACCTTCTGGCAATGGCACGTATTGACGTGCCATCCTTTAGGAGTTGGACTGTCTGTGCAATCTCTATAGGGTCCAGGTAGCGCCTCATGCTAACAGTGACAGTGACCGTAGCCAAATGCAAAACTGGTGAAAAAGAGTCAGAAAAGATGAGGAGGGTAAAAAATGTCAGTGGCCTCCACCTGTAAAACCATTCCTGTTTTGATGGTCGTCTAGTTGTTGCTCGTCTAGTCCGCCTGTTAATTTCATTAATACCAAAGCAGCTGGAACTGATTAACAACTGCTACTGCTGCTACTTACCTGACCAAATCAATATCCCAGAAGTTTAATTAACTTGATGCTATACTCTGATTACAAAGTTCTCCTTACATTTTTTTGAGCAGTGTATCAAATAACTAGAACTGGAAGTTATAGTTAATAGGTCATTCAGATCAAGGGTAAAACTAATAAATTCTTATTAGTTGCTTGATTATAACTGTAATTTGCTTACCCTCCAGGGTTCTTAGTCTCTTACAGAAAAGGATGGACTCCTGAACCAGCTGTTTATATCCAGTTGCCTTCACCAATTTAGTAATTCAGATGGGTATCAGAAGAGTTGGCAACAAACAGCGCAGTAAAAGCCTTTAGCCCCATATATAGGCTCACTAACTGATTACAAGATTTTAGGCTCCCGAGGTGCTAATTAATGGACACACCTTGAATTAATATGTCCTTCTGATGACATTATTTTTAGTCTTTTCTAGGGGTAACATAACTTTTTTTAATTTATTTTAAAACATTCTGTTAAGTGTGGTTGAAAACAAATGCCTCACTTTCATTTTTTCATTTTCATAAAATTTTTATTATAATTTTTTTTATTTTGTCAGATTCAAGCAATTTCTGCAACCATGGGTTTTGCTTTTATTAAATGAGGGGTACGGACAAGTTTTTCCACATCTGAAGATTCTTTACTTTTAGTTGCGCAGATGTTCCTTCTCTAATGTTCTACAAATTAACAAGGGAATGTCAGGGAGCCTTACTTTAGCTGCTCAGCAGAGGACCACCTGCTGAGTGGATTGATAGGAAGGAGCAATTAAATCTCTACTCACATCCTTTCCTTTTCCTTGTCACTTTGCAGTCTGTAAGCCTGATTGAGCGGGGCAACCCATCCCGCAGTCTGGAACAGGTGTGCCGATGGGCCAACTCTCAGCAGCGCCACGACCCTGAGCATGCAGAGTACCACGATCACGCCATCTTCCTCACAAGGCAAGATTTTGGTCCCGCAGGTATGCAAGGTACTGTATTTTTCTCGATCGAGGACTGTGCAGACTGAGTGCTGATATCTGCCTCAATTCACAAAAAGGGGTTGACTTCATGTCTTTCCAAGGTAAGGTTGATGGAAACTTTGTAATGTGGGGTTACCTGCTGAGGAAATCTCCCAAAGGTGACCTCAAGGAGTGATAAATATTGTTTTCCAGAACCTTGCTGATTAAACATTGATGCAACCCTGCAAAAAAGGAGATTGGTAATCCTGAAGAACAATTTTGGCATGTAGAGAAAAACCAGATTTCTTTTTTTTTTTTTTTTTTTTCTAATTAAAGTTTAACCTCAGGTGCTGGTCATAAATATTATTATTGTCAAAAGAAATTATAAAGTAATTCCATTCCAAACATGAACTTATATTTCTTCTATACACACCAACGTACATATCCCAAGTTTATTTATTTAAACTTTGATTATTATAACTAACACCTAATAAAAAACCCAAATTTAGTGTGTCAGAAAAATTACAATAGTGTAAAATGGTACAATATTGAAGACACCTTGGACCACACTCTAATCAGCTACTTACTGTAGCTCAAAACACCTGCAAAGACCTTTAAATAGCCTTTCAGTGTAGTTCTGTCGGCCACACAATCATGAAGGTCCGCTGACTTGAGAAATGTCCAAAAAACAACCACTGAGGAGGCAGTGGAAAGAAAAACAAATTTTTAACAGGAAACCCCCCCAGCAGGACCAGGCCTTCTGCCGAAGCTGACTGGAGGTTCAAAGACAGAAAAGCAGACATAGAAAAGGAACATAGAAGCACTAATCCATAAATACTTTCTATGTTAAAAAAGGTTACGCTAAACTAGCTTCATAGGTGGCTCTCACTAAGAAAAGAAATTAGGCAGATCAGCTCTCAGCCAGTTTTCATGCCAAAAAAGAGATGAAAGAGAGCATGTATAGTTAGTTAAGGTAAAGGCTGAGCCCATAACTATGTTGACGACAAAAACAGACCCAACTTAATCATCCATAGTTGAAGGTGTTGATGGCAGCAGCTGCTATTACCTACCAAACAGGACCAGACTAGGTGAAGCTACTATGATGGGAAAAAGCACTGGGAACATAAAGTTAGGGGTTACAGTAATAGATGCTGCAGAATTGGGGGCTGGAGGAACAATGAAACAGAACATTGAGAAGTGGTCCCTTTGTCCTTAAGCAGCCTAAGCCTAGAGCAGCATAACTATAGAGATAGCTCAGGATATCCTGAACCACTCTAACTATAAGCTTTATCTAAGAGTGAAGTTTTAAGCCTTGCCTTAAAAGTAGACATGGTGTCTGCCTCAATAACTAAAACTGGTAGTTGGTTCCATTGGAGAGGAACCTGATGACAAAAAGATCTGCCTTACATTATATGTATTGATTATGTTTAGAGATTCTAGGAACCACTAGTAAACCTGCAGATTGAGAGTAAAGTCTCCTGTTAGGAACATAATGAGTGATTCGATCTCTGATACCAGATGGAGCTTGGTTGTGTAGGGTGTTATATGTAAAAAGAAGGATTTTAAATTGTGTTAACTGAATTTAACAGTAAGCCAATAAAACAAAGCTAAAATGGGAGAAATTGGATTGCTCGTTTTAATTTTAATCGGAACTCTGGCTGCAGCATTTTGGATTCGCTAAAGCCTTTTAACTACAGTCTGTGGACTTCCTGATATAAAAAAAATTGCAAACGTCCAGCCTTGAAGTAACCATGCATGGACTAGTTTCTTAGCATCACCCATGGATAAGATATTTAAAATTTTTGCAATACTCAGAGATGAAACAAGAAATGCTACTAACCTGTTCAATATGGGAATCAAATGACAAGTCCTGATCAAAAATTATACCAAGGTTTTTTTTTTTTACATTATCATTTTAGCCCACTTTGAAATGACCACTATCTGGCTTCAGTAAGAGACAGTATCACAGCATCACCCTGTCTGGGCTAAAGACACAAAACCGTGGTGATCCTAAGTTATGCTCTCTGATTAAAGTAAAAATAGTTTTGTCCTTTGGAAATCAAGGTCCCAGAGACTGGAGAAAGAAAGAAAAGGCACAGAATCTGGATTGCTTTGAGTCCAGTTTAAAGTTCCCACAGTCAATACTGGTTTATGCTGCCATGTCATCTGCTGGAGTCAGCTAGTAATAAATGGTTTAAGGACAATAGTACTGCCTTTCTTAATTGGCCAGCAAACTCACCTGACCTTAACCCCAAAGACAATATATGAGCTATTGTGAAGAGGACAATGCAATAAGCAAGACCTAACAATGCCATGATGCATTGCTGCAGCAAGCCAGACTAAAGAAACCCCAACTAAGTATTGAGTACTACACATGCTCATACTATTCATGTTCAAGCTTTCTGTAAGGAATGAGTATAATATATAAGTTTCACTTTTGGAATGGATTTTCTAAAATAATTCAAACTTTTCATAATATTCAAATTTATTACTAGCACCTGTATATCTAAGTTTGCATGTATGCAAAAGTAGGTAATTATGTGCAATACATGTTGTTTTTACCCTGTGTTTCTTTTTTACAGCCCTTCAAAACAAACTTTGAAGCGAGCAGCCAAACCTGCACAAAAAACTGTCTCAAGAATCAAAGAACTTTTACAGAGTTAAAGCTTGGTATCTTGTTTTAGCCTGTGCACAGTCGCAATCCCTGATTTACATTTGTCAAGTTCAGAGCCTCAGGCTGCCGGATTTGCTTGTCATTCCCCCCGATGTTGCCATAGATACGGTTATGTTGTGCTCACAACAAGCCCAGTTTCTATAGCATGTTACACCATGTTGCTATGTCTCTCCGTCAGGAGAAGACCTCGCACGTTCTTGTCAGTCTTCAGCCATGGGATGGTAGATTCTATAACCAAATATAGATTTTGAGAGGGTGGAAAGGATTTTTAGGAGGTAAATGAAGATACCACAGATAACAGTTTCATTTAGCCATAAATCAAATATTATATAAGTGTTTTCTAGATTGTGTTTTAAGTTTATAGGAGACAGTGCTTTGCAGCAACAGTCATTACTGATGAATGTTTTCTAGATATTTTCATGTTGCAACCACAAAGCCAATGTCTTACATTGATTTAGTTAATGTGGCACACTGACAAAGTATTGCATATTTTTAAAAGTGGAATAAAATATAGATGCTTTTTCATAATTTTTACCAAAAATAAATAAGTGAGAAACGTATTTTTATTCAACCTCCATTACTCTGAAACAGAAATATAATTCAATGCAAGAGCGTATGAGATTAATGTCATGTAAAACCTTTCTCTGAAGGCGTGCATTACCATAGGAGATATCAAAAGGCCCATTCTAACTTTGGAGGAGTTGCAGAGGGCAAAATCTACAAACTAGGCAACCTATTAATTATACCCTTGATGGAATTGGCTGCAATGATCAAGTGGCAATTAAGTTTTTGTTTACAGAAAGCTATCAGAAGACAAAGAAGGCTTGACACTTGAGGCTTCATCCAAAATTATCTTTTTTCTAACTCCTGTTCTTTCACCTTTGAACAGTAGATCGACAGATTAACAGAAAGAACTCTACCATGTGTAGAAAAGGAATTCTAGAGTGCTGTGCTGAATTATTAAAAGCAGCCTTAAGTCTTTAAGTCTCCTGAAAAAGGACTGCAAAAATACAAGTTACATAAATGTAGCAAATGAATGAAGCTCTTCATCATACAACCCAAAATTTATAAAAATGCATGCATTTGCCTGTGTCACACACATTACACGTAAAGTAATGTATTTTCAGTCATTTAAGTGAGGTGGTCTATGTCAACATGTAATGTCACGCTAAGGCTTGTGGGATTTCTTATTGCTACTAAGTTAGGGTGTCCAGATGTCCGGCTTTAGGGCGGACAGTCCGGATTTTCATTGCACTGTCCGG